TCTCCGAGCCGGTCAGGCAGCTGAGGGCAAAGGTTCGGGGGCATCTCACAGGGTCCTGGCATCCCTGGGCTCCCGGCTGTGACAGCTGGAAGGAGCAGCGGTTTTGGGTGCAGGTGACTGGGCAGGTTTTTGGGCAGATGATACCAAGACAGGGGAGGGGTAGGCAGAGGTATTTGTTTTCTTCTGTCAACACTTCCTCATACGTCGGATGAAGCAAGCAATGGGCTTGGCTGGCTGCAAGCCAGGCGGCATCTTCCAGTGCCCTGGAGCTCTGGCCAGCCCAAGAACCGTGCGGGATCAGGCCTCCCTGGCATCTCAGAGCACCAGGCACTGCTGGTTGGAGAAGGGGTTGTCACAGGACAGTGGGATTTCAGGGTGTAGGCACTGGAGCTCCCTCCTGCTCCCTCCTGCCCTTGGGACACAGCCTGGCTTTGCAGAAAGATTGCCCTCATGCTCTGGAGCTGCCTTTCCCCAGGTCCAGGCAGCTCTAGCTCCTCACAGCCCAGCTCTGCAAGGCCTGCACTGTGCCAGGTCCTGGCTGCCAGCAGATGCTGGTGGGCAGGCTTCAAGCCGGGGCACAGCTGCCCCATGCCCACGAGCTGCCTGCAGTACCGGGGCGGCCGTCCCTCCCCCTCCTCCTGCCACCATGCACGAGGAACGTCTCCCCGTGGTGACGAATCCAGCTGAATCCAGGCGCAGGCTGCGATGCAGACAGTCACCAAGGGAGATTGTACCACGTGCATCCCCGCAGCCACGGGGAATGGGGACCAGGGCTTGCCTGCTAAGTCCCCTGCATCCCCCCGTGCTTGGCCATGCTCTGCAGGGGCTCTGGCAGTGCCTGGGTGGGATGGAAAGTGGCCTTTGGACATGGCCCTGTGCAGATCCACTTGCAAAGGGCTGCCCAGCTGCCCCCAAAGGGTGCACTTGGAGGTCACGGTGCCCCCGGCCAGGGAAGCAGGCATGGCACCTGTGGCTGCAGACAAGGAGAGGAGACCTGCAGCCAACAGTGCCCAGAGCAGGGCTGATGTTGGTAAACATCCCCTAGCTGGGTTGTGATCCTGTGGCCCTGGGGCCATGCCCTGGAGGTGACAGCCTGTTCTGGGAGCAGCCCAGTCATGCCCTAGCCTGGTGCTGCCTTCCCACTGCTGATCATTAACCACCCTTACTGGGTGGTGAGTTCAAGGACCCACTCAATGACTGTTGTCCCCAGGTTAAGCAGAGCTGGGGCCATGCTGGAAGCAGCAGGACTTAGTCCTGCTGGTGGTTGCTGCATTGGTCCTGCATCTCAGCACACTCCTGTGCTTGGCACTTGTCTCTGTCCCTGCTGTCCATTCTTGGTCTTCTTTCCCCAAAAGATCCACCAGGCTGTCTCTGCATCTCTGGGGTGGGTGAAGGATGTGCCAGTCTGTGCTGAGGGGTCAGCGCCTGGGGTACTTGGTGCTGGGAGAGGAAATGAGCCCAGAGACACCAGCCCAGGCCATCTGCAGAGCACTTCAAGGATGCTGCCAGCTTGGGGATGCTAGGGGCAGGTGCTTGAGCTGAGGTGATGCTGAGGGGTCCACGGGATGGGTGCAGATAGGCACATTCAGGGCAGCGTTGGGGCAGGGAGGATCTGACCCAGCTCGTCCCATTGACCTTGCTATGCTTTGTGCATCACAGGTGATATCCCGGCGCCTTTATGGACCTATCTGGAAGTCAACCTTCGGACATTATAGGAACATCAACATCGGGAGCCCGGTGGTGCTGGAGCAGCTGCTACGGCAGGAGGGCAAGTACCCGATGCGGAGCGACATGGCCCTGTGGAAGGAGCACCGGGACACCCGGCGCCTGCCCTACGGACCCTTCACCGAGTGAGTCCTGCCCTGGCTGTGCTCTCTGGGCCAGCATGCATCTCCTGCCCCTTCCTTACGTGTAGGGCCCAGGTGGCAGTTTGCATTACTCCCACTCCTGCGAGCTGCCTGTCCCCACCAAGTAGAAGGGCATGGCCACAGTGGGTGGAATGACCCCTGGGATGGTTCCAGCCCGGGGTGGGGAGTGCATGCACAGGGATTGGGGAACTGCTGCCAGCCACTGCCCCCTGCCCGTCCATGCCCCCAGCGCTGAGCCTCCTCCCCATCCAGGGAAGGGGAGCGCTGGTACCGCCTGCGCCAGGTCCTCAACAAGCGGCTGCTGAAGCCCTCGGAGGCGCTGCTGTACGCGGATGCCATCGGGGAGGTGGTGTCAGACCTGATGGTGCGCCTGCGGGAGGAGCGGAGCCGCAGCCCCTCGGGGGTGCTGGTGGGGGACGTGGCCAACCTGCTCTACCGCTTTGCCCTGGAAGGTAGGGGTGTCCTCTCCCTCACCCCTGCCCTGTCCCACCATTCCCATTCCTCCAGAGGTCTGGATGCTGTTTGTCCTCCACAGGCATCTCTTATATCCTCTTCGAGACCCGCATCGGGTGCCTCAAGCAGCAGGTCCCTGCTGAGACCCAGCGCTTCATTGACTCCATCAACCTCATGTTCAAGAACTCCATTTTTGCCACCGTCCTGCCCCGATGGAGCCGCAAGGTGCTGCCCTTCTGGGACCGTTACCTGGACAGCTGGGACACCATCTTCGCCTTTGGTGAGCGGTGACGATGGGGGTCCAGTGTGGTGGCACTGGACTCCCTAAGGACCCTCAAAAGTGGGGCAGTCCCTGGCCAAATGTCTTTTTGGCAGCCCTCGCTCTGTCAGCTTTGGTTCCTACTCTCTGTCCCTGCAGGCAAGACACTGATTGACCGAAAGATGGAGGAGCTGGAGGGGCAGGTGGAGCGTGGCAAGGAGGTGTCCGGCTACCTGAGCTACCTGCTGGCCAGTGGCAGACTCAGCCTGGATGAGGTCTATGGCAGCGTGGCCGAGTTGCTGCTGGCCGGTGTGGACACGGTGAGAGCCAGGCAGCTGCTGTCAGGGGATCCCTGCTGTGCTCCATGCCCAGGGGAACCCATGGGGCCATGCTCCACCCAGCCCTTGCGAGCTCTAGCCCAGTTGGAGCTGATGCCCCAGAGAGGCAAACCCTCAGGGATTGGTCAGTATAGACCCTGGTCCTTTGCTCTGCTTTGTATCCTGCTCCCTGCCTCCCTCTCCCCTGTGCTTGCTGCCCCTCACCCCTGACTTTCCTGCATACCAGAGCAGGGGCTCTCTAGTGCCGTACTGATGCTGTGCGTGGCACAAGGCTGCTCAGGTACTGGCCCCAGTTCCTTCACTCTCCCTGGTCCTCCACTCCCCAGACCTCCAACACGCTGTCCTGGGCTTTGTACCACCTCTCCCGGGACCCAGACATCCAGGAGACCCTGTACCAGGAGCTGAAAGCTGTTGTGCCTGCTGACCGGTTTCCTGCTGCTGAGGATATCCCCAAGTTGCCGATGCTTCGGGCCATTATCAAGGAGACTCTAAGGTACATCCCAGCCATGTCCCCTCCCCTGAGGTGCTGGTCACCAGCCCCTTCTCCAGGGGGGATGCACCAACCAGGCAGGATGCAAGGCTGAATTTCAGTCCCTCTGGACTGCAAATATCCACCTGCCCCCCTGGGGAGCTGCTGAGCCTTGTCCTGCCTGCTCTCGCTCTCTCCTGGCTCTCCAGATGAGTCCTGTTCCCCCACTAACTCTCCCCATATCCCAGAGTCTACCCTGTGGTGCCCACCAACGCCAGGGTCTTCTACGAGAAGGACATTGTCATCGGAGACTACCTCTTCCCCAAGAACGTGAGTGGGGGCCGTGCTGTGGGGACCCCCAGTGCACTCCGTGGGGCCAGGCGGGGTCATTAAACCCCAATTCCCGCCCTGCAGACCCTCTTTGTCCTGGCGCACTACGCGATGTCCCATGATGAGACCTACTTCCCCGAGCCTGAGCGGTTCCTGCCCCAGCGCTGGCTCCGGGGACACGGCTCCCCTCACCACCCCTTCAGCTCCATCCCCTTCGGCTACGGGGTTCGCGCGTGTGTCGGGCGCCGCATCGCTGAGCTGGAGATGCACCTGGCCCTTGCCAGGGTAAGTAGGGATCCCTCCACTTTGGGTATCTTGCCATGAGCTGGGATGGGTGTCCCAGGGAATCCCCAAGGCACTGCCAACCCCCCTTCTCCCCACAGATGATCCAGGCATTTGAGGTGCGGCCGGACCCCCGTGGCGTAGAAGTGACATCTGTGTCCCGCATTGTCCTGGTGGCTGACAAGCCCATCAACCTGGAATTCATCGCTCGCCCAGGAGCCCCCTGACTGCACGTCCATCCCCCACCCCGGGTGCCAAATGGAGATCCCCCTTACTGCCCCACAAGGAGGACAGGAAGGCAAACCCCTTCCCTGGCCAGCTTGGGCCTGGGGGCTCACAGCCCCACAGTGAGAAAGGTGGGGGGGATGAGAGATTGCCCCCAAATCACCCTTGGACCACTAGTAGCCCCCTGCCCAAAATCAGCAGGAGGTTTGGGGAACTGCTGTGCCTTTGACACACTGCAGGGGGGTTGTGTCCCCCCCATCCTGTGTCCAGCTGGGCTGCATCAGGAGCCTGGGAGCTCTTTTGGGACTGGGGGAAAGCAGGGAGGGGGCTTGCAGCCATTCGGTGTCTCCTTCGTCCTGTCCTTGTGTAGCTGCGCGTGGATCTGTGCCTGGAGCCAGGACATCTGGGTCCTCTCTGAACAGCTGACCTTGGCCTCAGAAACTTCTCTGTGCCTCACTTTCCCCTTGTTCCCAGGGGAGGGTTGAGTGCTGGTGGTGTTTGGGGTTTGCGCCTTTCCCAAGGGACAGAGTCAGCCCTGGTCCTGAGAAAGCACAACAATAACACATTCCTCATGATGGGAGGAGGTCTGTCACCACCCAGCACTGGTATTGCATCCCCTGGCAGAGCCAGCCAGCTCAGGAGGGATGTTTAGATCCTGGGACTTTCCACTGTCAGCCTTATTGCACTGAGATGCTGATAAGGGGTCACTGATAAGGGGAATGGCAGGGCTCACTGCAGGCAAAGCAGGAAGAGAAAGATCAGCTCAGCATCCCCTACCCCCAAACCAGGACCATTGCAAGGCTCACAGCTAGTAGCAGCCACAGGCAGGGGATGCATTGCCATTTGCCCAGAGTCCTTGAGGGATGGGGCATGGGACATTTTTAACAGTGAACCCCTCATACTTTTCTTCTTCTTGGACTGAGGGAAGCAGCAAGCAGAAACCTTTCTGGTACCAAAGCTTCTGTCCCTCAGTGTGTCCCCAAAGGGACCTGCACATCACCAAGATGATTAAGACTGCATGTCTTGTGTCCCCATCCCCTCAGTTCTACCCACATGTGCCGATGTACTACTCTGCCAGTGCCAAACTCGCTGGCAAACAGCCAGCACCCCTTCCCCGGCCTGATTCTCTCCAGAGGAGTCATGCCCAGCTTTACCCCAGAAAGGCAAGAGGCAGTTCTTGGATCAGGCTGTTTTGTTACAGCAAGGCTGAACAGACTAACAAATAAATAAATATCCCCTGCCCGCCCCAAAACGTGCACAGGGTCTCCATGCAAGTGCCCATCCTGCTGCCAGCTCTGGCACAGACTGTGCCTCTGCCAGAGAGCTCCAGCCCCGTGTGACCCTAAAATAAAAAAGCCTGTGTGTGCAGCTGAGCCTACGCTACCAGGCACCGAGCACAGACAGCGGGACTGTGTTCACTAGGAGGGAGCCACAATAGAAACGCTCAGATCCATCAGCAGGATGGCAGAGGGGTGGCCAGGTCCTCTGGGGCTATATGGGTCTCTGCCCAGCTGCAGGCATGTTGCAGCCCCTCCAGCATCGTGCCCACTGAGCATCACCGTGTGCTCAGTGGCAAGAGGCACCCCTGGGTCCCATTTTCAGTGTTTCTGCCTCTCCGAGACCGGCAGAATCTAGCCCTGGACTCAAGACGAGCCCGAGGACTGGGGTGAACAGGCATGTCCTCCCCACAGAGAGCCTTCGGGCCCAAGCCTCCTTCTCACAGGTCGCGCAAGAGATCCCCGAGTCAGACGAGACAGTGGCATTTCCCTGGTGTCTTCAGAGTGAGGATCGGTCGATGCCTGTGGGGCAAGACAGCATGTGAGACCATAACCCAAATCAGTGCTGGACTGAGCACCCTGTGACATGGCCCCTCCAACCATCCCAGTGGACACTGGGGTCTTTCCTCCAGTCCTTGCTTGTATGCAAGCCCTGGGGTAGGAGGGAGAGAAGCTTGGCTGGCATCGCACATCTCAGTGGCCCCCTGCAGCTCCCGATACAGCCACCCCTGTGGGCATCAGGGATAGCGTGAGCAAAGGCACTGTGGTGGGGGGAATGGGGGAGGGGGGCAAGGGGGATATCCCATTTGTGACTAACACACACCATTCCCAGTCCCCTTCTGTGCAGAGCAGCTGGGCACTGCTGGGGGAACTGGTAGGCACAGGCCTGTCTCAACCCCTTGCCCACCACCACCCCAAAAAGCATAATTACCTTTGGGAAGCAGTTGGGAACTGGAGCCAGCTCCCCCCTCCTCATTTCACCCCTAAAGAGATGCCACAGTGGGTGCCAGGACCATGCCCATCCCTAGCCAGTGAGGATTCACCAGGCAGTGGGTGAGCAGAGCCAGCTGCAGGTGGCCAGGCAGCGTGGTCCCAATGCCACCTGGGAGTGAGCCCTGTCTCTGGAACAGACAGTTTTGGGGCTGCTGCAAGTGGAGGGGGTGGGGGACTCTGCCAGCTGGGGCCCATGGGCTGGCCATGTTTCGCTTATGGCTAGTGGTGGGCACCAGGTCTGGGGTGTGCGAGCGGGGATCTGTCTACTCTGTGTCCCTTGGGAATTCCACTGGAGGTGCTCAGGTCTCGGAGGGGAATGAAGCAAGATCAAAAGTAGGCTTTTGTCTTGGGGTGCATCACACCCAAGACAACCCAAAGCCCAGGGACCTGCAAAACCTGCATTCCACACACTGCCTGAATGGGGTTCTGGCAGAGTGTCTCCATGGAAGGTGCCCCCATCCCTCCTCACTGTCACCAGGGATCCCCTGTGATCCTTGTGTATCCCCGGGACAAGCAGCATCTGGGTCCTGCTGTCCCCACCTGGGCACCCGCGCTGCCACACCCCAGCCCCAACCTCCTCCATGCCCCTGGACCACTTTGGATGGGGCAGAGGCAGGTGACGCAGCAGCAGGGAGGGGACAGGCACACAGCAACGGGGGGGTGGCACCTACCTGAAGTGGAGAGAAATTGAGGGTGCAAGTGGAGAAAGATGGAGCACCGTGGGCTAAGAGTTAAGAGCATCAATACCTGCAGGAGTGAGCACAAGGGCCTGCAGGATGTCAGAGAGGGAGACGATGCCCCGCGGGTACCGGTTCTCATCCACCAGAACCAGGCGATGGACCTGTGGGTGCAGGCAGAGCATCACGGCAGGCTGGGCAGCTGGCAGCCAGGCTGGCACAAGGCACCCCAGCCACTCACCTGCTCCTTGGCAATACGGTCAATGATGTCCTCCATAGGTTCATGGGGGTAGCAGGTGAGGACCCCCTCCAGGCAGACACTGCGTTGCTGCAGTGCCTCCCTCACACTGATGTCCAGGTTGTTGTAGGTCTTCTGGGCTGCCAGATGCTGTGATAGATGTGTCCCCATTCAGCGCCCCACAGTGTCCTTGCACCCCCTTGTGCCACCACAGAAAGGACACTGAGCCCAGGATGTGCACAGAGCAATGTGCACTGGCACGTGCATGACAATGCATGTGGCGTGGGTTTGCACAGGCACAGACAGGTATAAGCACCCTACCAGTGCATGCAAGGGGCCAGACTTGAGCCTGGGCATGCACACACGCAGGGTACTCACAATGACATCAAACCGCGAGTACAGGCCAACCACTTGCCCTGCAAAGAGAAACAATGCAGGGGCTGCAGAAGGAACCCTAGGGACCAGCTGCCATGCTCCTCCCACACCCCAAGGGCCAGAAGAGGGGTTTTGGGTAGGGATGGTGCTGGAGCTGTTAGCAGAGGGAGATGAGGACGTCACTTTTTCCCTCCCCAGGTACCAGCATCATTGATGACAGGCAAGGCGGAGACGCGGCGATCCACAAAAATCTCCAAGGCAGTGTGGATTGGGGCAGTCTCAGCCACCACGGCCAGATCACGGAAGGTGCCAACGCACAGTTCCTGCACTGTTTTCTTCAGGAAGCGTGGCTTGGGGATGGTAGAAGCCTTCAATGGGACAGGGCAGGGCTGGGCTGGCACCTGCATGTACCTTGACACCCTTGCCTGTGACACCAGCCATGAGTGTGCACAAACAGCCCCAGCACTCACAAAGATGTGGAGAAACTTGAGGATGCGCTTGTGCGTCAGGATGTGCAGGACATTGCCCGAGACAGGCTCAATGACAGGCAGGCGGTGGATTTTGTGCTTGATCAGGGAGTAGACAGCATCAAAGAGGCTGTGGGTGATGAGGACATCGTGGTGGGATAGGGCTGCGTTCAGGTGCACACACACCCCCACTCCAAGGGGTGTGCTCTCCCCCAGTGGACAGGCTCTCACCTATTGCTTGGAGAGATGTAGACCAGTGGCTTGAGGGAGCCCTGCAGGTACACCTCTGCCAAGGGAGAGAGCTATGAGAGGAGGTCCTCCAGCCCTCTCCTGCAGCCCCACAACCCCAGAGCCCACCTCCATGCCCTGCGTCACAACATCAGCCCAGCCACCCACATGATTTTTACCTCTCCAGGTCTCAATCTTGTGCTCCTCCACCTCGTAGATCTGAACCTGGAGGCAGGGAAATGCCCTGGTCATGGAGGCTCCAAGGGGGACTGAGGGCACTCTGAGACACTGCCCCTTTCCATGGGCATTGCACCCAGTGACCCAAACACAGGGATTACATTTTGGGAGCCAAGCAGGGGAGGAACAAGTGGATGCTGGTCTGGCCCGGAATCATCCCCTGGTCATTGTCTAGCGATTAAGAAGGGACGAGGAGTGGTGGGGACGGCCGCTCCCGGTGCCATGCATGCCCTGATCCCCCAAGCCCTCCTCACGGCACTCACCAAAGGTGAGCGGTAGTAGCGGTGGAGGATGTTGATGAAGTCGGTGATGGTGAGCATCCCTGTGGAGATAGGTGGGGCTGGCAGCGCTGCCTGTACCCTCTCTGCCAGGCAGGGGATGGGGCCAGGCATTGCTTCTGGCACTCACCCACAAAGCTCTGCGTCTTGCTGTCCCAGAGAGGGGCAGCACGAACCCCGTTGGCCACCAGTGCCAAAAAGGCTTTCTTGATCTGCTGGCAGAGTGCAGAGGGGTTCAGAGGATCCCCAAGTCTACTTCTTCACTGCCCATCCCCACTCATCCCCCAGGTTATCACCTCCAGGGAGACGTCAAAAACAACGAGCTTGCAGCTGGTGGGGATGGCATCATAGCAGCAGTGGCTCCTCAAGAAGTGCATATAAACCTCGGCGTCAGGAGTCTGAAACTCGGCCTCTGGGCCCAGCCCCAGTATCTCATTTCCCAGTGTGAAGGTGACAGGTCTCCTGTATTCTTCCTCCTCCTCCTCCTCCTCTTCCTCCTCCCTGGGGCATACAGCCTTCGGAAACCCTGCAGGCAAAGTCATCCCAGCCCTAGCCAGTAAGCTGAGCTGCTGGGTCTCAGCACCCTCCTGCCTGGGGGGAGCAGGGGATGCTCCCAACAGAGCTCCTGTGTTTCCTATTCCACAGGGGCAGCATATAGCAGTTCTCCAGCCTGGGGCAGACTCCAGCTGAGGAGAGGGGTATGGGCAGGGTGGGCAGAGGACCAATGCACTTGTCACATGGTAAGGCAGCCCCCCCTCCTACACACCTAGACTCTTCCTGCTACCCACCTTCCTCCTCAGGGCACACAACAGCATCCCGCAGCGCCACCTGAGAGGGCACACAGTGAGGAGGGATCAGCAGGAGTCAACCCAGTCTTTTCCCCACCCATGGATTCTGCCTGTACCCACCCAGTTGCTTTGACCCACCCAAGCCAGGCAGAGAGAACTGTCTTTTCAGGGTGGGGACGTGGGCACCCCCCACCAGCCCAGGACCCCCAGAGCCTGCAGTCTCCATGGTGGCTCCAGTCCAGGACACCCAGCTTGTCCTCCTGCTCTGGGGAGACAGCAGGGGTCTCCAGAGCAGGACAAGGCATGGATGGCAGGACCTCCTGCCTTCTCTCTCTGCTGCTGGAGCCAAGCATGTCCCACAGCAGCTCTGCACCCATCCTCTCCCAGTCCCAAGGTGTAAATTCTGTTCTTGCTTCTTCCAGTGCAGAGAGCCTTGCCAACCCCATTGGCCCCTCCCGGGGACTATGTCCATCCCAGGAACCCTACATTAACAAAGCAGCAGCCCGAGGAAGAAGAGAGTGCACAGGGCCAGACGGCTGCCCCCGTTCCCCCAGTCCCCAGGAGACCCTACATACAGCAGCACGTGCAGAGGGAAGAGCTGAAGAGCTACCCCAGCCACAAACCTTCCTGACAGAGCCAAAGTTTACAGGCCACCCTATAATAATGAAGGCATAAAGACAGGGACCACTCCCTGAGGAACCTAGAGCCAACACGGAGAAGGAAGAGACCCTGCACAACCTGCCCCAACTGCTCCCAAGGGGCTTGGCACAGCTGGGACAAGGACGTCCTTGTCCCCAGGGCTGCACGTCCGTGGGAAGGGGCCCGTCAGCCGCCCACATTCTCCCACACCCGGGGTGGCCTGTCCCCACGCGGGGGTCTGTAGGACCGCGCCCCCCACCCAGCCTTACGGTACCTGGGACGCGGCGGGGCCACGGAGCTGCTCCATGCTATCTGCGGGGCAGCGCTGCTATTCTGGGCCCGCGGCTGGCGTGGCCCTGGCAGATAGAGTGTCAGCGAGCAATGCCAGCCATGCCCCCACCGCCACCGCCGCGGGGGGGGACACGGCCGACACCACCGAGCAGCGCCCGCAGCCACCGAGCAGCCTCGGGCTGAGCTAGGTGGTCGCGGCCCCGGGGGCAGCGCTGGTCCTGGGGACCCGAGGGAGGGGGCGATGGAGGGATGGCTGGGGGCAGAGAGCAGAGGGACACCCCTCTCCGCGGACCCCCGTCCCCCAGGAGCCAGGGACGCGGTGCTGCCCCGCCCCGTCCGCGGTGGGGGGCACAGCGTTCCCCTCTCCAGGGGATGCTGGAGAAGGACTGGGTCCTGCCATGGGCCGGGTGAGTGCGGACCCTTTTTCCTCGACGCTGCCCAGCCCTGCCTGTCCCTGCCCGGGATCCTGCTGCAGCTCACTGTCCGCGGCGACCCTGGTCCCACGGCGAGGGCAGCCCTACCGTGGGGTAACTCCTTCCTTGCCGCGGGGCCACCCCTTCCTGCTCGCCCTCTGCCCGCTCCCCGCTCCGTTTTCTATTTCTGGGAGGCTGTCGGGCTGGCTGCAGGGTTGGTGGCTACAGGGCCAAAGGGACAGGCCTCTGGCTGCAGGGGACAGCTGGATACTGGCCCATGGCGGGGTACAGGGAGTTCTCTGGTGCAGCCTGACAGCAGGCAGCAAGAGGAGGGACGAGGCCGGGGCCTCGGTGCTGGCTCACAGGGTGGCCCAAATCCCGCAGTGGTGCGGGGGCCCTTGGGGCCAGACCCTTACAGCTGTGCTGTGCAGAGCAGCCTGGCTCCAGCCTGGCCATCGCGGGTGCTGGCAGCAGGGAAGGGAGCAGGCATCTCCACTTTCGGAGGCTATTTTCAGGTGCTGGAGAGAAGCCGAGGAGAGATGAGATTGTCACCAAGGAGACCAGAGAAACAGGGCCCAGCACTGGGAAATGGTGGGCTGCGGGAGGGGAGGGAAGGGCTCTCTAACAGACCCAGGGCCCATACATCAGCACCTCCTCTGGGCCCCAAGAACCTGCCCATGCACCCAGCATTCACCTGCCATACCGGGGGGACAGAACCCTGAACCAGCAAGGGCCAGCTCTGGGCACCCAACCCTTCCTACCCCTCTTGTAAGGTTGGACTGCACTGTTCCCCTTGATTAATGATGCACGGGATAGTCCCTAAGACATAAGGAAGACTCCAGACCAAAGCAGTTATGCTAGGAGCTGCTTTTCCATGCAGGGGGGTATGTTTACCTGCCATAGGGCAGCAAGAATAACCCCAGGCTCTGGGAAGGACAGGGAAATGGAGTGGTACCACAAACCCAGTATCAGAGCCCAGTGAAGCATGGGAAGGAGTGAGCTTCCCACCAGACACAAAGATGTCAGGGAAAGGAAGGCAGATGAGAACCAGGAGAGCAGTTGAGTGTTAAAATTTAATAGAAATCCTTGAGAAACAAAGGGAAAATAGAGAGCAGACCCAAGAGAAGAGCACTAGCCTGCAGTCTATGCACACATGCTGCAGGGCACACCAGAGAGCCAATGGCCTTGAGAAGGATGCTCCCTCCCCAGCAGCCCCACTGCCCCCACAGCAAACTGGAGCCACACTGGTACCCGTGGTCTCTCTGGAGCTGCAACGTGCAAGCCTGAGGTCTCCTGCAGGGCCTGTTGCTGGGGGAGGGCAGGATGTTGGCACAGACATTCACAAAGGATAAAACTGGGAAGTTTTACTCCCTCCCAGGCGTGAGGACTGGGGACTTATCTCCAGGGGCCAGGCTGGAGCAGGGAAAGAGCAGGCTCAGCTGCCAGCAAGTCAGGACACAGACACAGGCGAGCAAGGGCTCAGCCTGTGCTGACTGGGGACAAGAAGGGCAGGCTCAGCCAGCTCCCACACAGCAAAGAAACCACCATGTCAGGCTTTTAGAACAGTCTAGAACAAAGGCCAGATAACCCCCACTTCCTCAAGCTTTGCCACTTGTTTTAGAAAATGAAGTCACACAGGTCTCCTCTTTGCCCAGGAAAACATCTCTCTCTACAACCAGCACGAAAACAAGTGTGCAGTGTGAAGGGCTCCCACAGTCCTTGCTCTACAGAGCCAGCTCCTGTCTCTTCCTTTGAGGTAGGTTGATGTGTCCCCAGGGAGGGACGGTGGCTGCTTGGTCACATCACCAGGGCAGTGTCAGACAGGCAGCCAGCAGGTCTCTGGTTGGCTCCATCAGTGCACTTGTTGAGAGGTAAGCTCTGAGGAGGGCTGGGCTCCAGGCATCTTGTGAGATCCTCACCAGCTGAAGGGAGGCATGTGCTGCAACAGAAAGGAGACCCTGAGCTTCTTAGGGACAGTGAGAAAGAACCAAAAGGACCATGGTGCAATAATCACCTGCTATATCACGACACAAGGACTCAGAGATAGGGCTGCCAGGCTCACCTACTCCATCTCCCATTCCAGGCAGTGCCACTGACCCCAACAGGAATCCCAATATCAGTGGGACTGCAGGGTCACAACTCGGTCTCCCTGTCTGTGTGTAAACCCAACTCCACCCTGACCTCAGCACAGGAACAGTGATGACCTTTCTCTCAGAAGCAGAGACCAGGGGTGTGCCTCCCCTTCACTTTGTCTCACCCAGACAATCTCCAGTCCTCCACCTCTGCAGGAAGCTGTCAGCAGCCCAGCTTTGGTCAGGGAAGCTAGAGAGTGCAACAGAGAGCTCACTGTTCCTCCAAACACTGCTGCAGCCAAGAGCCACTGTTCACTGTTAACCACATCAGTGTCCACTGACGTGATACAAGTTCCAGTGCAGGGAATATCTTGTCAGCATGTTCTGACCATGACAGCTCCAACCATCACCTAATCTGGCTGTTCTGAGCTTCACTCCCATCTAAGCTGGGAGTACAGTGCCAAGGAGACATGCCCAGTTGCACAGACATCATGCCAGCTCCATCTGTTGGCTCCTCAGAGAGCAGAGGCTTCAGAGCCTGCAAACCAATCTGCTCCTCTCCCCTTAATAAAGCTGCTTTTTGGGCTGCAGTTTTCTACCAGAACACCAGTCCAAAAGCCACACTATGAACACCATGAACATCACAGCCAGTGCAAACTCACCCCAGTCTGCCCAGTTCCAGTTTGCTGAAGCCATTTGATTGAATGCTACTCTTCTGGAGGAAGAACGACTTTGGCAATGACCACTGTGGAAGGAGAGGAAGACAACAGAATGGCTGTTTAAATCATGGCAAAAATCCCTCAAGCCTGCTGTGCTTTGCCATAGGCTGCCCTAGAGAGCTTCAGCTAGAGCTGCCTCACTGCTGCGCATTGTCACTGCCACCAGACTGTTCCCAGAATAGCAAACAGAGCAATCTTTGCGTTCTGCCTAATGAATCCCTCTGCTGAAAGTGGGAGTAGAGCATCTCGAGGTCAAAAGAGTGGATTTCTTTCAGAGTAGCATTCTGCTGTAAGGCACAGGAGTCACAGACAGAGACAACTCCCTCACAGAGAGGAACAGTGGTCAGGACAAGTGCCAAATATGTAGGGCTGTGCCCAGTGCACCCAAGGATATTCAGATGCAAAATACTTGCAGATCTGATATACTGTTCATGACTTCATGTTTGTGGGAAATAGGGCAGCATGGTTTTTTCCAGACTCCTGGAGCCTTGGCAAAGAGGGAAGAAGGCAAACAGGTAGGACAGGAGCCAGAGGAAGCAGAACAAGCAGGATCTCTACCCAACTCTGCGCAGGTAAACAACCACTCTGCCTACCTTACCCACATTTATACACACCATTTGGGCCAAATCCGTCCGTGCCCCAGTGTGGTACCCTTTGACACACCAGTTCTTCAGCAGCTCCAGACCTGGGAAGTGATAGAAGACAATAAATGAGAACAAACAGCCAGGTTTACAGAGAGTTAAGCCTTCCCAGCTCAGGGCATGCAAATATGCTGCACTGACCACATAGAACATGCTATGCAATAACTACTTGAACACGTGCCTGAGCGCCAGCAAACACGGGGTAAACCAAGGGCGTTCACCCTTTGTACGAGCAAACATCAGTGCGTGGGCTGCTGCAGTGCTTGCCTTCCTCCCAGGGAGCCAAGACATTCCTTGCAGCAGGCTCAGCGAAACAGGAAAACTGGGGCAACACAGGATTTGCCGAATTAGACCAGATTGGCTGTCCCCCTGAGCCCAGTGCCTGCCAACAGCAGTACCTGATTTGGGCTGCACCGGTGAAAGTTCCCACCGTGCAAATGTAGAGCAGCTTTGCTGTCATCGACCCCTTTCCCAGAGGACGGCAGCTCAGGCAACCTCCTCCTTGCACAGCACAGATCAGCTGCAGCATCCCAGTGCATCTCCACCCTACAGGGAGCCATCCAGAGCTCAAGATGGGCTGAGACTTCATCCCTGACAAAGGGTAAGACTGGAACAAGCCAGTGAGATCATCACTGGTATGACTGGAAGGGACCAATCCTCCCACCACACAAAACACATGGTGCTCCAGAGCACAGCAAGGTCATTTTGAAGCAGAGCCATGTGTTCAACTGCACTGAACAGGCTCCATTTCCTCCAGGGCTTCCTGCTCACTGTCCCTACTACAGCCAAGCACCCTGCTCTTTGGCCAACCCAAAAATATTGAGAAATCCAGGACTACTCCCATCCTGTTTTCTTATTTAAGGGCCTTAGGGTCATAGCAGAAGGCTAGGGTGACTTGAGAATTAAGAACCAGCAGAGCAATGGCTAGTCCATTGATGCTGTTCAGCTGTCATTACTGTTCTCTACTGTTATCTTTTCTATAAGATACCAGGAGAAATCCTTGCTGTCCAAAGCTTGTTCCTTGGTGACCTTTCAGCGAGTCCCAGAACACTGTTAAAAAAACCCCACATGTTGGGGGCCAAGGGGAGCAGGGCGGCTCAGATGCCTTCTCCTGGGTCTGTGCACCAGCCTGGGCTTTGCATCTTGCTGGCTAGGAAAAGAGGAGTGCTGCATGGAACATAGGGGAACAGGAAGGGAATGGGGGAGAGTGAGTTCTGCTCAGAGGTAAAGAGCAGTGATGGGATAGAGGAAATCTGCTTGCCTGGCTTCTTTGGGGAAGCTGGAGCACTGAACCAGGACCCTTGCCTGAGCGGCAAAGTTCAGGGCAGCACTTCAGTGAGGACGATGACAGAATCTTTCTTCCAGTTGATGGAAGATCATCCAGCAAAGATATTAG